GTATTAATTCTTATTATGATGCAAATGGTTAACTTCTGTGAAATGTTACTGTTATTTCAGAGAAAAGAAACACAACGTTGGAACCTTACGAATTGCCTTTCCGAGTCCACGCGTTTCTCAGCTATCAAGACGATTTGAATAATTTTCTTGTCATGTATTTCTACCAATTTCCATTAATGTTTATAGCAATGTGCCATATAAGCTCAGTTAGTTTGTTACTCAGCCTGGAGATGCACGTCTGTAGTAAATTCTCGATCTTGTCGTATCGCATACAGACTATACCAACGAAATCTGGCATTAATCTCAACAAAAAAATTAAAGAATTCGTGAACGGTCACGTACAATTAATATCGTAAGTGTATTCGTCTTTAAAAGAATGGATATATAAAAATGTATAATTTTAATTTTAGGACAGCGAATTCTATCAATTCAGCGCTAGAGATATTCCTTTTAATCGAACTATTGCAAACGAGCATTAGAATGGCTGTACTTATATACATGATGCTTATAGTACGTTAATAACTATCACCGTTCACGTAATTCATCTCTTCATTAAAATGATTATCGTTTCCAGAATCCCAATGGAGATTTGGTCAGCGCTTTCACCTACGGTTTGTATATCGCTATAGTCACAGCCATATTGTATTTGTACTCCTTCATAGGCGAACATTTATCGTACGAGGTATTGTATTACTACGAGTGGTTCTTATTAGACTGCGGATTTTTATTCAAAATCGATTTTGAGGTAGTACATTTTCATAATTTCGTAATGTCAGATTCTACTTAACTTTTCTTGTACCCCCACGAGACTAAAAAAACATAATTTACGTAGTCTGCTCATTACAATTTATTTGTTACACATTAATTGTAGAAAAATCCGCAGTCTAGTGATTGTAAATCAAACAACGGGAAGTGAATAAAATTTACGTATATTCAGTCGACAAAAGTGAGCGAAGCATATTACGACACAGATTGGCATAATCTGTCAGCTGATAATCAAAAGCTGTTGCTCCTCGCTATGTCCTCTGGTCGACGAACGCTGCACGTGACAGCTGGGAAATTTTATACTTTTTCATTAAACGGTTTCATCGATGTAAGTACTCAACAATTTTAACAATGCCGAAAATGTTGCAAGTCACAAATCGTTTAATGAACTATCGACATCACATTTTTTTATATGATATAAATCATTAAACAATTATTAAACAATTATGTCACGATTGAGATTAAATCTTCTCTTATCATAGATCGTGAGAACCTCGTTCGGATACGTCTCTCTTTTACGCGCGCTGGTCTAATGCGAGACAAAAGAATTTACGTAACAATGTTTTCGTTAATATAGATCACGAACGTATTCATTACGTTCAATCAGTTCAATAGGCATTGTAGAATGCTACGAATAAATTCTTTAAACATAATTTAGAGTATATTTCGTTATAGTGAATTCCAATCGATTGCACGTCGAGTAAAACTTTGAGTTTCACACGACAGATTTACACAATCGGCCTTCAACACGGTCTATTACCCTAACAAATACACTGAAATATACTCGCCATTTCTATGCGGACTACAGGTATGAGTATGAAGAAAGAGGAGAGAGTAATTCAAACTGTGATTGCAATCTACTTTAATGGTGTTGGAACATAGGATGTGTAGTAAATGAAATTCGGTAATATTCGATTCTTATTTTACTATTTTATCTTTAAATGTATTAAGGAAGGGAAGGGAAGGATTATTATTTGAGCTGTCGGACAGAACCTGAAGGTTATGTAGCGATTCAGCTACATTCTGAAATAGGCTAACGATTTTTATGCAGAATAATATCTATGTGTCATGTTCTAATGTGCCATGTGGGCTACGCGAATGAATATCGAAAGCGACAAAAGGTTAATTCGAGTTAACCTTTTAGTCGGCTGCGACACGTGCAGAAGAATAATAAGACTTTTGACCAACCGTTTTACGGTACAGTAAATTAATATATCAAGATAGGAAAGGGAAGAGGAAAAGTCTCGATGTAATCTAGCACGAACAAATAGACTTAGGCTTTTTATGCAAAATAATATCTATCGTGTCAATTTACTCTGCTGACTACACGAATGAATATAAAAAATTAACAGAAATTAATTGGAACAGAAAAATGATGGTAGTGGCATAAAACATACAACGCGTTCAAAATCTCATGGAAACTTTTATTCATTCTTTTATGATACAGTAGATTTATATCAAGGTTATGAAAGGAACCAAAAAAGTCCTAATATATTCCAGCATGAACAAATAAATTAAGGATTTTGAATGAATATCAAAAACGACAGGAGATTAATTTGAACTGTAACGTTACGTCGCTCAAGGCCAAAGTCTCGTGGAAACTTTTAATTATTCCTTTGCGAAGTGAATTCATGCATCAAGATAGGAAAGGGAAACACAAAATAATAATATATTCTAGTTGTACATGATACAATTTCAGATAAAACAAATACATACTGGCACAATTAGGAGATGACGGTAGATTGGTAGATAAAGGCACTTGTCTTCAAAGCCCTGCGATTCTATTAGTCGTAATTATACCAGCATGAAATTGATCCCAGAGAAACAGAAAAACTGGCATAAATAGAAATGGAAGCACGTGTCCACGGTGCGCGATAATTTCCATATGACGTTACCTCATTATCGATCGTTCGTGCAGTTGTGGCTTGAAAGTTGAACTTCGCAGACGGAGGAAGGAAAATTTCATTCAACGAAAAACGACTACATGCGGTATTACGTAATTAAAAGTCACAGTAGGAATTGTAGTTATTTCGCAGTTTTTCCTGCAACAATCTTTATGAGGGTATGCTACCGTTTGATCGAAATTTTATCAGCACTTCTTGCAAGATAGATTTATAATACTTGTTTTGTACTCAGCTCGTGTCAACGCACTTTTCTTGCAACCTGACATCTATACAAACATGCACGTGTTCGCCGATGTTTGGAATAGATTGATATATATCAAAAATAAATACCGCACGGTTTACACGTAGCAAATAAGCTTGAATGCAACAATCTTTATATTACCTATTTTCCTACTTCTTCAGTGATGTTTTTTATTTCGTTCATAAGTATTACATGTACGTGTAAGTGATCTTTTTAAAATCTAGCTTAATCAATTATTAGCAGGCAGCGGATTTTACGGATTTATAGGAAAATCGTATCGACAGTGAATATAGGGAAGGATATAGTTAAGGGAATATAGAAAACATGCATTCTTTCAATCGATATTATAAATGTTTTATAGAAATCCACAGTCTGATTCTTAAATTCTACACAGTTTTTGTCTATTACAAGTTATTGAGAAATTGTCATAGGACATACGTGTAATGAAGTACTTACTCACCTCCGAAACACGGCGGCATGCGCGTCTTCCCGTACTGTGCGTAACACTAGTATTATGTCAATTGCAAGGAATTGAAGGTTGAAAACGTATATATAATCACTTTCACTGGAGTGTTGACCGGGTCACGGTATCGTTCAGTGTAACACGTTTTATTTTACTGTTAATGACTCGAAATGCTGAATGATCTCAACCCTCCGCAAAGTGTGTAAAAAGTGATAAACCTACTAACAGATTAACAGGTACCGTCGAGACTGTCCTTCCTTTCGCGAATCAGACGTTCGAATCACTATCTTCCACTAACTGCTAGTTTTATACTCTCCTCAAGGCAACGATCCATAATCTACTGGAGACTGCATCTCCAATATTAATGGAATGTTTTGTTACTTACGTTTCACGGGGGTATTATACACGATCAGCAACTGACAGCGTCATCTGTGTCTGGTAAATGGAATTATAGTTAAAAAATGGCGTTATAGAAATAAGGGTTGAGAATTCGAGAAAACCGTTAATTAATTAAAAATGTGTGTCCTATTAAAGAAGTTATTCCGAATACATTTGGTTTTTGTTAATAAGTTGATTTTTTGTTCGCGTGGGAGTATAGAAACAAAGTTTTCTTAGCAATGTTCATTATAAAAAAAGTTTATTATTCGTAGCTGAGGTGACGCGTGGTACATACATGAGGTTTCCGACTACAACAAGTCCTATGGTTTTTCACGCAAATACTATGTACAGGTATGGGTCATGTTGTAATTATTAAAATCTACTATTAATTAACATAAGTCAACGTTACTGCTAAATTATTACCCATTACAGTATGACATTAATATTCGAAAGATTCGCTCTGACGTGAATCTTGTACAACTTTTAAAGATTGTCACTCGTTACTTTCTATTGTAGTAGTCCTGCGCGCGTAATTCTGTAGTGCAATTTATGTTACTCGATCGTCGTAACTCGGGAAATATGCCGATTTACTTCGATTCTCTCGCTTCGACGCGACGCACTTGGTCGTTCAGAAGGAGAGAAACGAAGTACTTAAAAACTCTTAAACTCTTCTAAGTGAACGACTATGCTTAGAGTTACACGCGGATGCTTCTTGGGATGCGAAATATAAAGCGAACGCGCAAATTCAATTATTAAGGACAAAAGGAAAGTTATAGAAAAGAAATTATAGGGACAAGATTTTTCTGAATGGTAATAAATATTACTTTCGTAGACGTTGAGAGGGAAGGTACTATTTCTTTAGTTACAATAATCGTACCTGTCTATCTAAAGTATAAAAATATCTGCGCAATTACATAGTACCTAACAAGAATTCTCGGATAACTATATACGCAAAAGCGTTTTTCCACTCTTTCATCGCGATTTACAAAATTTGCATTCAATTCTTACATCGTTTCGCGCCGAGATGCTTAATTGAGCAATTTTAAAAAGAAAACGAGGAGAGGCAAGGGACGATTTTATTGTCGTTGTACCTCTGCTAAAGAGAACTTCGTCCTCGGGAGAAGAGTACAACTTTGTTTCTTTTTTTTCGAGGGATATCGCAGAGATCATAAGAACGAAGTTAAAAACAGGAGAGAGAGAAAAATATTACGTAACAAATACCTTGTTTGAAATTACACAGAGGTCTAAATGTATTATCTTGATGTCTTGTCTTTTCGTTGAGTATTCGCAGCGAGTAGTAAAATCGTAAACGGTAAAATGGCACCCTGAGTTGAAGAAGCACGGTCTGTGTCCGAATGCTGTTTAAGTACTTGTGTCGTTAAGACTTTTCTCTTCGCCGTCATCCTTTGTATGAAAGACAGAGCAGTTACGAGTCACGTCGAAACAATTTCTTCCTTTACCGTTGCCTCCCTTATTCATCAGCGCCCAAACGATTCCAATATAATAGCGTCATGCTTCATTCATCGACACAGTCTCGGCGATGGAATCGTTTGGTCAGCCTCGTGGAATGTACTTTGATCGAGGTACAGAATTGTTCATAGCGTCGCATAGAACGACAAGCTCCGATTCTTTGTTTCTCGTTACGAGTGAGACGCTCTGGTCGGATCCTTTTTGGTGGGCGACGAAACGTTCGTCGAGTTCGTCACTTTGTACGCGTTGCCTTTCGCCTCGGTCGGGTGTTTATGAGTACTGGTCGACGATTTCCTCGGCGGTTTACTGATCTGCGTCGTGGATAGACCACTCACTGGATATTTGTTTCTACTCGAGGTCCCACCGTTGTTGCTTCGCGCGCTGTTCTTCGCGGACGTCGACGAAGTCGCCTCCGACGGATGCTTCGGCATGACGAAGGCTTTCGTTTGTTTCAACAGGTATCTGTCGTTGCACAACGCCGATATCAGCGGCAGGTCTAAGTTGCGACTCTTCTCGCGGAGCGTTCGAATGTCCAACATTCCGTCTTCCTTTCCCTCCTCGCGTTCTTCCATAGCTTTCGACGTCTTCGTCGGCGAAGACGATGACGAAGACGCGGACGGAAGCGGTTGATTCTTTTCAAGATTCTGCAATTCGAAATGAACAAACATTGAGACTAGGAAAATCGATTAGGAATTTGTATAGAATAAAGTTTTAACGCGCGGTACCTGTATTTCATAAGGAGGTGGCGGAGGAGGCGGCGGCAGCCTGCGATGTTTCAATTGCGGCAGAGATTGTAGTTTGCTCGACGGCGAGTCGAAGCACTTCAAAATGTTCTCGTCGCTCCTCGTTCTGGAGAAGGCGTGGAGCGTGTGCGGATGCGCCGGGGCGGGTGGTTCGCGTCTAAGACTCTGGCTTCCTGCCGACGAACAAGTAGCTCCGCTGTATAGCGAACTGGTGCTAGCAGCGTAGTGGCTGCTCAGATTGCTATGCGGTAAGTAATTGTTAGAGCTGGTGTCGCTACTACTAAGATTCTGGTTGGAAGCGTATTTCGTGGGCGACGAGAACGAAGAGCCGGGAAGGTATGGCGTGCTACGGTACATTACTAACGATTTGTTATTAAACGAAGGATAAGGCGGGGGAGGATAGGCAGCCATGGCCGCGAGTAGCGATCCCTGTTTCGCGTCGATGTACTCTTGCTTGGAGACCGCGGGATCCTTCAACGGGAACATCACGTAATCGACGTCCGAGTACAGTTGCTGTTTGTACTGTTCTATCTGAGACCTCGCGACTTGACTCGTGTAAACGGTAGCCAGGCTAGGCGGCGGCGGTGGCGGTTGCCTAGGGTGTACTATTGGCGGCGGAGGAGGTGGCGGGGGCGGCGGTGGTGTTAAGTAAGGCAACAGAACCGGACCACCTCGCGAAGCGTGCACGTCCAGGTAATTGTTCGGGCCGACGACGAGAGCCGCGACTGGCGCGTGTACCGGCGTGGGTTTCATTTTATCACCGGGATAAGTAGGCGGTTGAATTCTTGGCGGTGGTTTCGGGGCGATGGACGATGCAACGTCGCCGTTCAGCGGTTGACCGGTGGCAATGCCGGTCTTGGAGTTCGCCGTCAGCCCGGCGCTCAACTTGCTGCTAGCCAGGCTCGTTTGTATCTTGGTCGACGTCACCCTCGGCAAGATCTCTTCCGTAGCGCTCGGGTACAGCTTGGAAATCACTTCCTGCCGAGTGAGTTCCGAGACCTCGGGATAAGGCGGAGGTGGTGGCGGTTCTCTGGGTGTCACCGCGTCGTTTCTCGGAGGCGTGGGCGGCGGTATTTGAATTCTTTCTCTTGGCGAGGTGTAAGGCGGCGGTGGCGGCGGTGGATCGGTTCTTCTTGGTGGCAGAGGGACGAATTCGCCGCGAGTAGCGTTATACGGCGGCGGGGGCGGAGGTTCCCTTTCCGGTATCTTAGGGCGCGGTGAGTTTATCGTTGCATAGTCCATGCTCACGGGATAAGGAGGAGGCGGAGGAAGTTGCCGGTCGCTGTCTGTCCTCGGTGGCGGAGGTGGCGGAGGCATAGTGACGTAATCGCAGTCGGAATCCATGGAATTGCTGATAGTCTTCCTCGGAGGATATCGGCCGACTATCAAATCAGAGAGCTCGTCCGCTGACAGCAACGGTCCAACGTTCGAAGGATCGCTACCGTCGCCTCTGAAACTCCCTGCGCTGAGTATACTATTGCTGCGTGATCTAGAGTCTTCCAGCTGTTGATCCAGGGAAACTGCTGACATGCTGGACACGACGTTAGCCACGTCCTCGTCACCTTTACAGATACTGTAAATTGGTTCCTGATCTTCGGTTCCGACGTCTTCCGTGTACACGTCGCTCGTCTCAGATCTAAGGCCGCTATGGATCGTGTAAAACCCGGATGTCACGGATGCCTCGTCGGTAGTGGATTGGACGGAACTTAAGGCACACACATCGCTCGCTGTCGACGATTCGTTCGCGTCACCAGTTGGCGAATATAGATCTCCCATTCTTTCGTCTTGCATCTCGCTACTCCTAAGCGTGTACACTCCACTGGTTTCGCTTGCGATGTCGGTAGCTGGATAAAGAACATTTTCATGCGTCACGAAGAGTCGTTGGTACTAAATATAAGAGCGAACGCACTAAATGTATGTACCTGCGTATTTGCCAGCTTTTTTGCATCTGTCGTAAATCGCGCCAGGAAAGCTGGCGGTTTCCGACGAAACCGCCGAATTCTGTGCTGTATGCGAATAACCAAGTTCCAAGCTCGAAGTCGCGGACGTGCGCCGCATTCGCGGCGGTCCACCAGCAGGTGCGTTCACGACTACGACCGTGCTGCAGCTGCTGCTACATTGCGACCCTTCGGCCGCTGTCGCCGCGCTCGATGCTAATCGCAGTGCAGCCGTCGTAGGCGTACTGTCCGCACCGTCCACTTCTGCGGGTTATACAATTGTTCCACAAGTTTTATATGTTCTACATCAAAGAAATTATGGCAATACGAAAATTTATAATAATTTGTAAACATTGAGTAACAATCTTCCAAGCTTGGGACAATTTCTATACAAATTTCGTGATGCCATAATTTTTTTAATACGTTCATAAATTATGGAGTATCTTGTGAAGGGGTAGATAAAAACAGAGAGCGGTAGGCGTTTAATAATACGTGTTTGAGGAGATGAGAAATAAGTTTACCGTCCACGGTGGAGACTGGAGACGACGGTAGAGAACGATCGTCGACGTCTACGTTCGATCCGTTTAGAACGTTGCACTGAACACCGGAGTGTTGAGTATTTTCAGTAAGACGCGGCAGACACTCGGTAGAGGCGGGCGCTGTGTCCGGTTCGTCCTCGCTGTGAACCCGGTCGCTGACAATTCCAGAAGTCGTATTCGACGACGTGCTCGAGATAACAGAAATTCGTTGGTCGCCACGCGCGCCTCGCGCCGTTAAACTGAGCTTGCACCGGGCTGGATACATGTAGCAGTCGCGGAGTACCTTCCTCTCTGAAGTTAAAAACGGAACGTTGATTTCTAGATAAAATCGGAGCTCCGGGCTCGATGGAATTCCCGTGCGGAATTTTCCAAATGCAAAATGACCAATAAGAGTTTCGTTCGACTGACCTTCCTCCTCGCGCCTCTTCGCTTCGTTTACTCTAGGTGCTATGGCCATGGTGAACTGATGGGTATCTCGGCAGAGTCCCAAGAGCAGTTTGCTTTTATCATCGCATCCGCTGTAAAGAGTGAGCTTGTCCGGCTGATCGACTGCGCGGATTTCGAATTTCTTCCGCTGCATAAAGTAAAATCCCGATAGATTAAAACGAATCAGTTAATCATAAAATTGATTCGAGGAATTGATAGATTGAAACTAACGTCGAAACAGAGTTTGCCGATGTTGTTCCAGGCGAAGACACGCGGTGTCTCCTCCTCGGCGTAGACTCGCACCCCGCGAGCGCATATGGCGAGGAGTATTCGCCCGGGTCCTGCCTCGTTCTTGCTTCTTCGCAACCGATAGAGGTGAGCGTTGAGCGGCGCCTCCAGCAGCACTGCCTCCCGGATATATTGCAGCTCTGCCTCCTCTCTGGAGAGGCCACGGTTGTCCCTGTGTTGTGCCGCGAGCACGGCCAGCACATTCGATTCGAGGCACATCTATGCAATCAGATTAATTAACCATTATTAATTTTCCTAAATTTTCCATAGGTACACCTGACCCTTCGTTTATACAATGAAGGTATACGGGAAACAAGAACATTGTATAAACAGAGAGTTAGGGTACTTAATAAATATAAGNTAAAATTTTTGTGAAACAATCACAATGTTAATATTAACAATAGGTTTATACTTATATTAATTAGGTATGCTTAATTTCGTTCTGAAGCAGTCTTCACGATTGAGACAACAGGTATAGCTTTTTTTAATTGACGATTATACTCGATATCTCTGTTTTTGAATTTGTTCGTAGTATGACTGATTTCTTTGCCTGTGTTCGACTGGCTCCACAGGTGGTCGGCGGTTCTGGTACATACGTACATGCATGTTCGATGTAAATTAAGCACTTACGTGAGGCGGAAGGTAATCCGTTGGCTTGCAGTATCCCACAGATCCTGCGTGTGGCCTATGCCGTTCCTCGGAGTAGTCCCCAAGATCGGCTTGTAGGGCAAGGCCCGCGAGTGTAAGCAGGGGCGTAACGATAGACGGCTCGTGCAGGGGGTGGTGAGGGTGGAGGTTCTCCACACCGCCGCCATGCCTGACGACATTGTCTCGCAGTTGCAGGTAATAGTGGTGACGCGTTGTTTCATCGCTGAAATCACCAGCAATAAAATTCGTTCACTTTTAAATAGTAAAAAATAGATCATTGGAATAGCTCGTGTCGAATTTTTAGAGGAGGTATAAATAAATAAAAATACTAAATAACAGATTATTATAAGTTCATGAATTTTTATTTAGTATAAATAATTAATGGAAATTCCTCGTCCAGGTTTTTGGCACGAGAAACTCTATAAGAATTATGGAGTGGATGTTGCAAAACAAATTTTGCGCTGCACAGTGTGATCAGACTTTTTCGTGGAACGAATACAGCACATATTATGGCAAGCAATTGTGCAAGTAACGCGTCTCGATATAGCCGAACGGAGAGGAAACAAAAAAAGTTGAATTGTGAGAGCACGTTGTCTGAATGACGCCGCGGATTTCCCTCCTCGAGCCGTGTCGCAGATCCGCTTTTAGAAAACTGACCGTATCTCGCGGAGGCGAGCGTCGAAAGACACATCGTCATGCAGCTTCACGCAATGATAAACAACGTGCTTCCTCCACCGGTTGTGTCCTACCAGCAGTGCAACGTCACGTTCGATGCACTTTATACATGCACGCGTTACGCATTGCGATAGACACCCCCGACCCTCCCCTATATATAAATCGTATCGGGGTCAGTCCAGGGGCTGGGGAAGAATTGATGAAAATATCCAGCCGCAGGGAATTCGATCGAGATCGCGGCAAGCTGCTGCTGCTGCTGTTGCTCCTTTCACGAATTAAACCCTCGTCGACGTAGACGTGCGGTGAATGCGCGGCGTGGCCCGATGTAAATCACCGGTTTCGGGTGGAAATCAGAAAGCAACCGCGGATCAGTATAATTACTGGGACGAATGCTTTCATTTAATTCCTACGGTCTATCTATCACGCGCCATGTAATAATTTATAATTACAAGAGTAGGTAGCATTTAGCTACCGGACAGGAGTCCAGATTTCGTGAGTCGACCATCCGTTTTAGTAAGACAGAGAATTCCACCCCCTTTTTATCCTGTCTTTCTTCCAACTGTTTCTGTGTCTCTTCTCCGAAGGGGTGGTTTAGCAATAACGAATGTAACGCATTTCATGAAATAATCTAGAAATTCCACGACCACATTATAGCATTTTTTTCTAACAGAAATTGATAGTACACGTGCAGGTTCAGCTTTATCAAATCTCCTTCAACATTTTTCACTTTTTAACGTTAGACCTTGTTTCGTTGATCTCTCAGACGGACGGGACGAAAACCCTTATAATCGCGATACGACGTGGCTAAGAAAAAGGAAGACGCGAGAGGCCGGTAGGCTACGCGGGTTTCGCCAAGTACGGTGGCACCCGGGCGAGGTATTTGAACCGGAACGCTAATTACTCCTATTAATTCTGCAACCCATTTGGCGGGTTGTCCGACGGTCCTCGACTAATTTAGCTTCCTACGAGTGGCCAACCTCTTTCGAGTGAATAATTTGTCAGCCGGCGCAGCCTCTATCCGACTACTGGATTTTTTATTCGCCCTTACAGATTCGATCCAACGATTCGCGTAGCCTCGTTTCTCCAGTCAGAACGAGCTTAAGCTCGTAGGGTTTTTAGGACAAAAATTCATTAGAAAAACTGTATCCGTCGTTTTCTTTTTACAGGATTAAAATTTTCTATCGCATTTTATAAATTGATATCACAAGTGTTTGACTTTTCATAATAAATCTAAAAGGGTTGAATGCGATTATTGTGTGTCTTACCTTAGAAGCAACGGCGTATCCACATAGTAGCGAACGCGAAAGTAGAGGACGAAGGCTGGCCTTCCGCTGCTATCTAGGCCCTGAAAAATGAAACAACGATATAATGCGTTTTCGATAGCATTCTTCATTATATTTCGTGATGCATTGTGAAAAAGAAATTCTGACATCGATACGTTAGGTCAACATCAGAGTACATCCTGTTACTTAGAAGTTAGGTGTACGGATAACTGAGACAATGGACCTGTTTTAACAAATCGATTGTTTAACCCGTTAACTAGAATAAGAAACGCGACACGACGCTACGATCAACTTAATCAAACAAAAGACACTGGTTTTATTATCGTCCAGTTGAATCGATCACACCTGATGTGACGAGTCTTGTCCATCGAGATATTTAACAATTGTGCATGTTCATTCAGATTGTAATTCGTAAAAGAAATCTTCTCTTCTTTTCTTGTTTCTTATAAAATCTATGAGCTTTGGTATTAATCGTTGAATTAATAGTGGACATGAGACACTTAATTGTGTCGGCTAAATTTAAGGCTGTATTGGCTATATACTCAATCCCAAAAGTTTATGCACTTTAGAAA